CCCCCCCCCCCCCCCCCCGCTTATTCACCGGTGGTTGAGTCGCAACTAATATTTTCTCACGGATTGCCCCCCCCCCCCCCCCCCCCCCCCCCCCCCCCCCTCTTCCCGCCGGCTGGATCCTCCAACAACACACAACGGCGAAAACATTACAATACACACACTACAAAACAAAACACGCAAACGTTTGTACGCAACGCCCCAATCAACCAATCAAATGACTACAACGATGGGATCATGACCAGGCCTACTCTCGTCATTTCCGGGTGTGACACGTCTTGGAATAAACAAACTTAGCGCCTCCTCCTTCGAGAAACCCAGCTTTTGAATTATGCTTCACACAACTCTTTTATCTTTCTTTTAATACTCAACAGATCAACAAATTCATTTTTTATCGTGTAATTCCAATGCCATTATCATTTGCTTCAATTCATTTTCGAGGTTTTCATTCTTTTTTTGCATCTTAGGCAAAACATCACTTTCAACCACAGTAAATCAGACTTCACTACAGATCGCTTTCACATTAGCATTCAGCGTATCAAATTTGTCGATGATTTTTTTTTCAGTTGTTTTAACGAAATCGGAATGGCTTACCAGATCAGTATCCCTAGTCGAACCGGGGGCCGGCGCCATCTTGTCCTTCTCCGAGGTAAACTAGCAATGTGTGGAATGTCCTGTGCACCCGGACGTACTGAGAAGTGGGTATATTGTGGAAGTCGCCTCTCCCGTGTGGTTGCCCGGCGTGGCACCAGCAGAGGCCTGTAGTGTAGGTATTGTAGTGTCCACTTGCGAGGTGTCGAAAGTAGTTTGGTCGTTAGTTTTCCTGTTTCTCAACAAATACGGCTCCCTTTCTGTCTGGTAGACTTACTCCCTTTGCTCATAATGATACTGGTAATGGAGCAATCTCAAAATATTAGGATCCGGAAAAAAGGAAACTTAATCTACTCTCACGTCAGACCGCATTGGCTTCTCCGTTGCGTGTGATCCCTCCTTGCGTGCGCTCCCTCCGAGTATTGATTATTATTATCATCATATTATGATCATTATTATTATCATCATCACCATCATCACCATCATCATCATCATCATAACCATCATCACCATCATCATCATCATCATCTTCATCATCATCATCGTCATCATCATCATCATCATCATCACCATCATCGTCATCATTACCCAGGACCAAAATCCAATTGAAACCAGTTGAAATCTCCAACTGGTTTCAATTGGTTTCAACTGGTTTCAATTGGTTTCAATTGGTTTCAATTGGAATAGAAAATTTCCAGTTGAAACCAATTGCCGAACTGGAAAATATTGTTATGGGTACTCATTTCCAGTTCAAACCAATAAGAAGTGCAACTGGAACCAGTAAGGTAATTTTTCCAGTTACTCAATTGGTTCCAGTTAGAAGTCATTTCCAGTTACCCAACTGGTTCCAGTTAGAAGTTCAACTGGAAACAGTAAGATGATTTTCCTGTTACTCAATTGGTTCCATTAGAATTCATTTCCAGTTACCCAACTGGTTCCAGTTAACATTCATTTCCAGTTAGAAGTCATTTCCAGTTACCCAACTGGTTCCAGTTAGCATTCATTTCCAGTTAGAAGTCATTTCCAGTTACCCAACTGGTTCCAGTTAGCATTCATTTCCAGTTAGAAGTCATTTCCAGTTACTTAACTGGTTCCAGTTAGCATTCATTTCCAGTTAGAAGTCATTTCCAGTTACCCAACTGGTTCCAGTTAGAAATCATTTCCAGTTACCCAACTGGTTCCAGTTAGAATTCATTTCCAGTAACCCAACTGGTTCCAGTTAGCATTCATTTCCAGTTAGAAGTCATTTCCAGTTACCCAACTGGTTCCAAGTCATTTCCAGTTACCCAACTGGTTCCAGTTAGAATTTATTTCCAGTTACCCAACTGGTTCCAGTTAGAAATCATTTCCAGTTACCCAACTGGTTCCAGTTAGCATTCATTTCCAGTTAGAAGTCATTTCCAGTTACCCAACTGGTTCCAGATAGAATTCATTTCCAGTTACCCAACTGGTTCCAGTTAGCATTCATTTCCAGTTAGAAATAATTTCCAGTTACCCAACTGGTTCCAGTTAGAATTCATTTCCAGTTACCCAATTGGTTCCAATTGGAAATATTTCCAGTTACCCAACTGGATCCAATTGAAACCAGTTAATTTGCATATTATATGCTTGTGTGCAGATCAATGTTTTATGTAATTTATTTTGATTTACAATGTACTTATTAATTAATTTTCATTTGCAAGTAATGCATTTGTTTTAGATAAATATAAAGATTAATTAGCAATGATAAGCATGTTCATTAGTAACATATTTTTGTAATTACACAGATTAAAAGTTGATGAGTAAAACACTAACCATGTACAAAATACATCAATTACAAATACATATATAATGGCAATGCCTTCCTTGTTAAGTATATTATATGGTCTGCATATTATAATGCCCTTTACATTGTACTTAATGTAGACACATATAACAATGTTTCTGTGTTGACATGAGCGATAATTAGTGCAAGAGCTAATTAACTTATAACTAATTAAGTTTATGCCAATTACTGTAATGGTTTCAATTGAAACCAGTTGCCAACTGGTTTCAATTGGTTTTGCTCCAATTGGTTTCAACTAGATTTTGGTCCTGGGTATCATCATCAACATCATCACCATCATCATCATCATCATCCTCATCATCTTCATCATCATCATCATCATCATCACCATCATCGTCATCATTATCATCATCAACATCATCACCATCATCATCATCATCATCATCATCCTCATCATCTTCATCATCATCATCATCATCATCACCATCATCGTCATCATTATCATCATCAACATCATCACCATCATCGTCATCATCATCATCATCATCATCATCATCATTATCATCATCGTCGGTCCTACCAAAATGCGTGCGCAAAAAATGCAATCAAGTATGAAATATATAGGAGTTCAGTTTAGGCCTATAGTTATGGAATGTGGGTAAGTATTTTTAAGGAATATCTTTAAATATATACAGTAGACCAGAAGAGAAAAGACAGAGAGGAAATCTTCAATTCGTTTGAAATTCTTTTTAATGTCCAAAAACACTCCAGATTTTACAATTCAACGCAATACATCATTCAGTAATGCGTAACGCATCTATTGATTTCTGAGTCTTTCTAAGATAATATAGTGCACAAACTTTTCTAACAATTAATCACCAAAGATAATTCAAAACGTAAATAATAAGAGTAGACATTTTCATATATAATTAAGAAAAATAGTAAGTTGAATTCCTCAAATGCGATTTTAAACGCGTTACTGTTATCAAAAATAATAAATGCGTGGCAATTTCTATACAAGACACTAAAAGCTCAAAATAACCTAATAGTTGGTCACCGCATATTTTTCCTTGAATATAGATAATCATATACACCTACGATAGTTTTCTTTTTACACACGGATCAAAATCAAATTTATCCCTTCATCGCAGCCCATCTTTAAATTATCAAAATAAAAAGATTGTCCAACAAGCAAACAGCATAATTATACCAGCTTTTATTTCACCTGTGACATAGACTTGGAAGACAGACTTTGGTGACTGACTCAAAAGAAACTCATTTCTTTGTTTTGGTTAGAATCAATTTCAAAGATCTATTCAAAACTTCTCTGATAAAATAGTTATTTCAAATTCTTTGGCTGGCGTATTTTTGTAATGGTAAGGCACATAAATATCACATTATTGATCAGTTCAATTGATAAAAATTGCTGTTTCTTTATCCACTCAATCTGTGAATAGATTTGAATAACACAATTCACTATATTAATCAAATCTTGGTCATGATCTACGTTAAATAATTGCATTTTACAATTTAGAAAACAATACTTCAATACATTTGCATAGATATAAGGTATATCTTAATTTCGATGATTTCTGCTATTCATGTAAGCAACATCAATTGCCCTCCTTCGTTTTGTCTATCAAACCCGATATAATTTCAAAAGCGAATACAATATAATTGTGCGTAGTGCGTAGCTCTGAGATTCAATCTTTTTTTTGTAATGCTGAAAATAATGATTATCAATATGGTATTAGTAAGTGAAGAATACAGAACACAAATATATCCAAAAAATATTTATTTGAAAACACCTTTTTTGAAAGAGTAATTTAAACAAAATAAAGCCTTTGTACAAAACGTGGCAATTGAATGAAAGAATATTACAATGAAATGATTGGCAAGAACTACATTCAAAATAAAATTCAAAAGCAGCGAATGAAATACACTCATAATAACAGTGAATACATATAGACTTTTCCACCAGTATCAAACAAAATGATGTGAAAGTTTATTGATTTGTTTACTTTACAACCAACAAAATAATAAAATATCATCATGATAAATATCAAAGATCCGATACTTGACTATTTGTTGCTATGGCTTACGTCGACTCTTTGTAACACGACAGGAGAGCAACGAGATTTATAATTCATGTTAAAAAAATATTATTTCATCAGTAATGTCGTATATTGCATTCGTTTAAGTTTGTTCAATCGCTGGACAGTTTCTACAGAAGGGTATATCAAAATAGAAACATTCGATATCAAGCATAGAATATGCATTCTCTTTTTAAAGAAAGGATAAAAGTTAACCGCTCTTGATCAACCGGGATGTTTTCTTACTCGAAGTATTCATTTCTTACTTGAAATCTCATCACTTATGGAAATAAAACAATTTTAACCAGTCTCGATTTGGTAATTTATTATCAGCCTTTCTATATAATGTCGCTCAAGAATATTTAAATAGCGGAAGGTTTGATCTGTTGAGGATGATTTCGCCCAAATTGTCTACTGCGTTTAATATATCAAAGAAAGTGAGAAAGTATCTGACCTATTAAAATTGTGACGGATAAAATCATGACATGGGTCGATAGAAATAAGATGCATAAGTAAAGTTAATTGTTAACTTAACGTCGAATCAAGTTCATATGTGACACTCTCGATGCAGACAGACGGATACAAGTTGATTTTTTTTTTGGTTGAATATAGATATATTTTCGTCTCTTGAGCGAATGGTATTAAAATCGTATATCAAGAACGACGGTGAAATAAGTATACTAAAATCATGAAAGTCGGCACAATGGCTATATCTGTCATGACTGTATAAAGGGAGGTTTCACGGATCAGTCCCACATGGTATGTACACTCGCTAATGCAAGCAGGGCTAGCTCCTTCTTTCGTTGCTGGACTGAAGATGGTATTAGATGATGCTACCAGTACACTACCAGGTCCGTATCAGGGCTATCCTCTTTCTTCCAGTTTTGCCTGTCTACGCCTGACCCCATACATAGACCTGGTCTAACTCAGATCGCCTGTTTATGGACTAGACTGGTCCCGAACTCGTCGAAGTCCTCGCTGGTGATCCATCTCTCGCCGAAGCTCGAGTGAGAAGCTAAGATGGCGCCGCCGATCCACGTGGTGATGTCGCGGTTGTCGTGAGCGATGACGGTCCGCTCGAAGCCGCCCTTATCCATCTCGTGTTGGAGTCGCTCGGGGAAGCCACGGAGCTTGGTGTTACCACCGGCCAAGAGGAGTGTAGGATCGAGACTCTCAAGGAACGCGGGGTCACATCTACGAGAGAAGGTCGTTGACAAGTATTGTAAAATCACTGAATTTCAACGATAGAAAGTGGAGGAAATGAACATGATGTAAACGATAATAAACGAAAAGGAATATGAAATAACATTTTCATACCTTCGTCGGGTGTTAGGATTGTCGACATGGTTACTCATAATTATTTAGAATAACAACATTATCAAATGATATTATATCTTCACCGAAAAGCAATAGTAATTTATACAGTATTTAATTTACCACTCCTTCGATGTGTTCCCCCGTTCCATTTTGCCCTCTCAAAGAGGATGTGTGATTTGAGCATGCACAGTCATTCTACGAATAAAACTCATACTTCAACTGCGACGAATTTTACTTACTTTTCGAGGCAGTCAGTGAGAACCTGGACCAGTCCCTCTTGTGGTAGTCCAACTATGTCTGGTCTGAACATGGTTTCGGAGCAGTGGAAGAGGTCTTTCTTCCGAAGCGAGACGGAGGAACCGTCTGGTAGGGAGTATTTGATCGGTGTGGTCAGGTCTGCATGTGACATCTCGCTATCATAATCTAAAGAGGATAACGACAAACAACAAACAAATATAAATAGTCTACTGTCTGTACAGAAGTACATCTCATATCGGTAAAGTTAGATTTTCACTGCCAACTGCATGAGGACCCCATTTTGTGACGTCACAAGATAGGCTGTAGCACCATCTTCAGTATGTATAAGACGGATTAGCATTGATACACAGTCGACATGGTAGGTACGACAGGCGTCAACTAGCACAAGCTTTGCACCAGGTTGACATCTCTCTTTAATACCAAAGGCTCTTTCTTAACCTTTTACGTCATAATTATGAATAATAAAAACATTTGAGAATTGGTATATTTTACCATGGACCTACGTAGGCCAACCTACGGCACTGACTAAAATATTGTATAACAACACAGGCACTAAATGCAATCGTGTCATGAGGGACAAACTATTAGGAACCAGTGTTCTATACTTTGTATTGTAGTACATGTACTATACATCCAACATAGTTGTTTAGAATCATAATTATCCGTCATAAAAAGAATATGCGCAATTGATTGTGTACTATGTCAAAGGGAAATATAAGTAAAGTTCGATTCCTTAAACCAAAAATACCAAGGCTCACTGAGGAAGAAAGGTAACGTCGGAGAAAATAAAATGATGGGCCGGATCTCACCTTTGCAGACATACGCCATGTTTTCTTTCAAATCTTGTAGGATGCGATGGTCAAAAGGCGTGGAGACAGAGAAAGCTCTTTCGTCCATCAAGATGCGCTGAAGCCTCCTAGTAACCCCTCGACCAGCTGTTGGCAACTGAATACAGAAAATAAAAATACTGTATTTACTTTCCAATACTATCACAATCATGATAATTCATAGCTTATGTGGAATTATTTCTATGTGTTACTATAAAAGTTACTGAAAACAGTTTACAGATAGAATTAAATATTTGTCAACATGTTTAAGAGGAAGGCGAGAAAAAATAACCCTCTCATTCATACTCCGAACACTCTATGACCTTGTTCTCAATCATATACCACCCATTCACCTATACTTCCAATGCCCCCCCCCCCGCCCCTCTCCCCATGATGAAGTGCCCCCACCACGCACGCTACACCAGTGCTTACCGTAGTAACAGCATTTGTGATGGTACATCCCTGGTATACAGGTACGACCTCCGTCACCCCGCTGCCACTACTCAAGACCAGTCCCGAGGTTTCCCCGTTAGCATGCAGGGCTAAAGCCCCTTGGTTGACTACGAAGCAGGCTGGAGTCTTATACGTCTCAAATAAAACCTGGTGATTAGAAATTCAGAAAAGTAATAGGGTGAGAAAGTCATTCTGTTACTATGATTTATCCCATCAGTTTTCCCCTTCATTAAATGCTTGCCGACGTGGGTTTAAAATGATTCTTGCATTTTCAAGGTTGCTGTCATAGTTATAATGCAATGTATATGGATTTGAGGATGTCAGTTTTAGAAACGCCTCTTTTTTTTAGATAATATATTTCTCTCTTTATGCATATATTTTGCCAGCACCTATATTTGTGTCTTATCTTCTTTATATTTGGCTTAGCTTTAGTCAATTTACCATTACCGACACAATATTACCGTGTAAGTATATCAAAAAGTAGGCCTACATGACTTAAGTAATACATTTTCTATTCTTACGAGAGCTGTCAATGAAACTGTCACAATAGAGTATTTCCTACTTATCATTTTAGAAATACGTCATGAATTAATTAGAATTGTGAATACATATTTCATAACTAATTACGTATTATTTGAAGGCTGCCATGGTAAAGATAGATTTGAGTGACGTATCATTGCGTTAACGCCGCATATTCTTTCGACAGAAAATCTAACCATATTTAATAATGGTTGAAAATGTATAGAAAACTTAAAGCGAAAGGAAATGACAATTCATTAAACGAACACTTGGCCGACATCTTTGGCAAAGAAACAATAAAATATTTTACAACGTTTGCGCTAGCTACCTCAAGAATCCTTTCCCTCTGCCGTTTGGGTGCCGATGCCAGCTCAGTCAACAAGATGGGATGATCTTCCCACTTGACATTTAGCTCATGACTGACTACGTGGTCCCAGATGTGTTCCAACTCAGCCCAGTTATCGACTACCCCTCCTATTGGTAAATAACGGAGTGGTGAATTATTCAATATGATTTGATATGTTAACTGCCACATAATTATAATATGTAACAAAATGAAAATTGACAACGAAAATGAAATATGAATAGAGTTCACCTGCCGGGTCATATTTTGTTTATGTATTTATTTGCATGGTAGGCCTATTTGTACGCGAGGAATAAGTTGAGATGTGATAGCAACATGAGTGAAGAATTATTGTGCATATTTATTCCCCCAATGCCGAATTTGATCACCCACCCGAAAATTATCGGAGCCTTTCTCAACCGCAAAGCAGCTACAAATGCATGCACTGTAAACTCTAAACATAATACGGGATGTATATAGTGGAATTAGATTATTCGTCACCAGGTTCCAGGTACTATTTCTGAGACCAAACATCGATTAGAGATTTGAGAAGAAGAAAAATCAGTTAAAAGGTAATGTTCTCGAAGAGCCTGCGATCAAGCCTTTAGGATCCCAACCTCCGATCATACCATGCAAATGATGCAAGGACAGAGTATTCTCAACCCCAGGATCTGTGGATTTGGGTAAAACCAGGGTACATCGGTGCTGAAAGTAAAAACCGTATTGTACACGATTCTTTGTCATGATGTAATGTGTTCCCTAATATTTTGAAGCACCTTGAGCATTTAATTAAAATGGATAATGGCGCTATATAAATCTCATGTATTATTGTTATTATTATAACGTGTTCTAGTGTCCATGAGCTAGACAGGTCTTATATTGGCCCTCAAAATGAGGATCTAAATCCTAAATCGTTTTGTACGCCCATGATCCTACCTCTGAGGGGATAGTTCACACAAACAAGTCCGTATTTCTTGGTCAGCTCATTGCCCACGTACACGTCCTTACGATTTCGATAGCTCTCGATGTCCTTCTTCAGTCGACCGACCACCGTTGGCATGGTTACTGAGGGTGCTACGCCATCGGCGAGTCCCGCTCTCAGCATCGACGATCCGTTGTCAAGGATGATGGGTGTGTTGAAATGACGACGATGTCTCGATTGACCCGGGGATGAAGCTAGGTATCATAGACAAAAAAATAATGTTACCTTGATTTGCGAGTTGCATAATGAAAGCATTTTTTTTTTTTTTTTAAAGGTCTCTACGTCATAGCATGCAGCTTTCGAGGGTATGAGGGCTTGATTGCGGGCTCGAGCCTCCTCCCCCCCCCCCCCCCGAACATTTTTTTGTTGTCTTGATTATAACTAAAATCTTAGTTTAGGCCATGCAGAAACTGAAACAAGAATATCAAAGCCTCCAAGCCCCAAGCACCAAGCCCCGCTAAAATATTATTTTATTTATGTTAACTTAAAAAAAAAAAATCTATTTATTTATTTAAGCAGGGTTGCTTCTTCAGTTAATAAAGAGCTATCCCTCTAGGACCGAGCCTGTTCGACTCCACTATACATGTACAGTATATCACATTGTGTCCATATTGATTTGTTCATTTAAAATAATTTGTTAGGGCTTGCATATAGATTTGAGCATCTTTTCATTAAAAGAAGAACATTATGTTTTCATTAGCTCATGTATATTGAGTGATAATCAAAACACAATCGGTTATCTCTTCCCGTGAAAACCGTCCAGGGTTCAGAAGTGTGGCTATTCATTTTGGACTCACACCTAAAAACTTGTATTCAGATTGTATTCGTATATTAGATATTCACTGCCTTATTTCATACCCGATATGTCTACGATTTCTTTCATGGGGAAAAGGTCAAACCTAGACTTATTGTAGTATAATACAATCGTTATAAACTGGTAGTAATATAATAACTGGTAGGAGTAACGGGTCCAGGAAAGGGGGTTACGAATATTCTGAGCAGCCATGTCTTTCAACTGCAATCGAGTCAAGAACATGGACATCTTAAAGAGCTCGTCGGTAACTTGCTTGACCAATTTTCAATGATCCCATATGAGGACCCCCCCTAACCGCCAGCAATACAAGTCTCCAGATTAATTGACGAAAACATTGACCTTTTCTGGATGCAATAATATACCCCGACCAAAATATATTGGTAACCAAAGTATTTGACCCCAGCTGTAGTGACGTGGACAGTGACATTGTGACGTGGTAGGCCTACCGGACATGAGGGCGTCGATCCATTGTGGGGGCGGGGTATAATTATCAAAATACATACAATACACTACATAGAATGCATTTATAGTTGATTCCACCACCTCTTTCGTTGCACCCGATGGTGCATTTTGTGTGAACGTTCGTGGGGGCTTAGAGAAAAACTAATACAAAGTATATTTGCGTTTGAACGAGTTACCTAATGTAGCTTTGTCTAATTCTCTTATTCTTCATTCTATCACCGGGGCCATTCATCTGACACTAAAATCATTTTTGTTTTTTAACCAGATACCAGATCAATTTGTATAAAAGCTGCTTTTGACGACTTTATAATATTGAATATCTCAATGCGTTTCAGTGAACAATGACGTTTCTACCAAGCCCCTCTTTCCCTAGACACCACCCATACACACCCATCATTCGTCAACACCGCGATATAAAAATACAATTAATGTCCTCCACTATCAATGCCCACAAGGTCTGACCTTTCATGTATCGGGACACACATTGTTGTGATTAAGCATTCCAGAGTTCAATATCTTCGATTGCTTCCCGGCTATACGTCTCGTGTCACGGCTTTCCTGGAAAGCAGTGACGTCATTGACATACCTGGTGAAACGGCGAGTGGCCATTGATGACGTAAGGCATCGTTCTTGCTGGACTCGACACTTCTCGGTTCCTCGGCTGGTGCCCCTGCCTCGGTAAGAGGCACCCCTACCGCGACAACGGGGGCACTATCCGGGTACGCGTCCTTTACGCCGTCATCTCTTTCCTCCAACCTTCCATCCATCGCCTTTCCTCCTTCTTCTTCTCCTCCACTTCCAGACCTCCCATCGTGATCTGATGCAGTTGACATGACACTAACTCGATATTCCCGTCTCCCGCAGTCATCCTCGACCTCGTCCCCCGTATCGTCATCGCATCGCAAGGGAGCTGAAAGATCGTTGTCGGTGCTTTCGATGATCTCCACATCGAGGTTTGCCAGGGATGGTCGCGAAGGATCGAGCTCCAGGAACCCAAACCAGCTGTTGGCTGAAAGAAGATAATATTAATATGATGATGTGATGAAAGCTAATGACCACTACATGTTTATGGCTTCCCATCTACCCCGTCTAAGATTTTCGTACCCATGTAGACACTGATCGCACATTTCATTGCGATGACTTGCGAATTCATTCTTGCCTAATATTCCTCTAGTAAGCAAAATTACAATTACAAAATTACAATTAAAGCAACAGATATAGAAAGAGAGAAGGAGTAAAGAGATAGTGAAAACTAAAAATAAAGAGTGAAGGAGATGAAGAAAGTGGAAGAACGATGGTATCTTAAAGAGAGTAACATATAAAATCAAAAGAAAGGGAGAGGGTGAGAGAGAGATCCTAATATTCTATATACGTACTGTATGATGGCGAGCTCGATGACGAGGTTGAATCGTCGATGTCAGCATCCCGAGCAGCTGAGGTTGACTCTTCATCTTGTGAATCGATTTCTTTAAAAAAAAATCAAGGATACATTACTGTCTTAATTTTACTTTAATAATGAAATGATTAGGACTACTAGCTCGCTTAAAAATCGAAAATGTCATACTTTTTCTGCTGCTGTTGCTCTTGGGTTGAAAGTGACTTGGAGGAGAGACAATGTCAAGTGTCACATATTTGGGTTGAACTTCGTGGGGGAGTATGATATCTTCGGTATCCATCGGCTGGTATAGATCATGTCTGATAAAATATTGGGAGAAATACCGCCTTCTGAGCTTGGGGCAATGTGTCACCGTGGGTTGATTTTGTGATGAACTGAAATAATGACACTTCTAAAAATAAATGGAGCTGCGGTTATAATGTTTTTTCTTGGATGGTTGCATTGAAAAAGATTAAATCCGACGCTGATCTCTTTTCAGTCTTTTGTCTGGTTTAAGCTGTCAGTGGGCTTACAATCAAGAGATTATTTTTCCATGTTAGATAAGTTAAATACCTCAAACAGCCTTTAATGGCCAAAATGTAATTTAACTTGCAGCAATACGTGGATATTTATTCAGCAACAAAATTTTCTTTTACTTTTATGTGCGATTCCGCTAATTTATTGCAGTAAAGATTTATCTACCCATTGTGTATTGCAGTTAAAGACTAGCAGCAAGTGGGTAAGTTATTCACAAAATTAAAAATAGATTAACAAAATAGATGAAGAGCAGTCAATAAATCAATTTTAAAGATTTTAATGTTATTCAATTATCATAATGATGCAATGTAGGCGTAAAGACCAAAGCCTTCCTGAGTTTTATAATTAGTATATTTTGTTGAGTACTTCTTAACTTCGGCACAAATCTATATCATGAAACTTTGCTATGTCGGTAAAAAAAAAAAGAAGACAAGTTTCATTCTGAAAAATTAGTGCTCTCTTTACAAAAGATTGAGTATGAACCTGATGAAAATTACGAATGTCGAACATGGATTTAATATCTCCGGTAGATGTAGAACTGGTGAATACTGTGAAGTTTGACTCTGCCAAAATCATTTTCAAAACAATAATCGGCACAACATCATAATGTCTATCAATATTCACGAAATTACCCATTACGTCTCATAGTACCAAAATCAATGTTTGGGATGATATCAAAACGATCCCACGTAGATGATGGATCTTGATTTTCTTTTGTTTTTCTCCAGCAGTTACTTCAAGCCGTCATTTTGAATTTGTGCATTAGAACAATATTCAATGACATTCTGAATCAGAATAATCCCGTTCATATCAGTCCCATGATCGCGTTGCTAGAACGAATGCATTTACCAATAGAGAGCAAAGCTCCGGTATAAACATGATAACAGCAGTTTTATAATATGATGAAACAAATTCCCTCGACTTTTCCCCTCATCAGCACTCCCTCCCTGGCTTGAGCGCCAAAGACATAAAACGCGCGGAGAGAAAAAACCCGGTGCATTTGCTTAATTCCAAGCATATTTCTCTTGATGACTAGCGAAGGATGGCATAGCAAGGGACTATAGGGTTAGGGAAAGGATGGGGGTCATAACCCCCAGTATGACCTTTTCATTCTCTAACTCATAGACATAATATAAAAGTAATTCATTAGATATTGCTTTGTTTTGTTGCAAGGGAATGGGCGAGAATTTGACTCAGATTATTTTGTTAAGAACATGAATTAGCAGAAATTAATATAGGGTTATGATCTCACAACTGCCCTAGCAACGTTGCCCCAAGCTTCATTTCGTCGTTATGTATTATCAAGCCTCGGGTTGCAATTATAGTTTAAGTTTAGGTTAAGGCCTGGGGTTAGGAGGACAGGTCCAATATGAAACAAAACCGGGACATAAATCCCCAAACTGTTATGATTATGGGGGCATTTTTGTTGTTTGTTTTGTTATTTTGTAAGGCGTGCCAATTACGACTAAGTTTCCAAAAAGGGGTACGGGTCGGTTTTTGCCCCCACCCCCCGTACATCAATCACTGGGGTTAGGGTTAGGGGATTAGAATAATGGGTCGGGGATTGAAGTTAGAAAGATGATTAGCGTTATGACAATGAACGTGGAGTAACGGGCGCCGATGCACGAAGACGTACAATCAATGGGGTAGGACATCCTCTGTGCCCCCATCCACCTACCCCATCCTCTATCCTCCCGTCGCATTGCATGCATTCTTGTCGCCATGGTTTCCCCGCTGCCCAAAGATGAACAACCCCGGATTCAACTCGTATATCGTGCTGGCCTTGACAGCTAAATATAAACATCTGGAATAAATAAGATGCTATTCTGGTTGCTACTGGAATCTAAATCCGGAACCCGTGGAAGTCATCTGCTCCTCTCGTTATCGTTAATTCGCCGATATAGAAAAAGCGCCACGCGTCGACGTCCCATCTATCGTACATCGCAATTAAAACAAACCCCAATGCAATGCAAATGAATAGGTTCGCTTGGTATTATGGTTGAGGGTTATACTTGTTTAACGGTGAGTGGGATGTGTTACTTTTTCCCACTAATTTAAGTCTGTCTGGTAAGCCTATTAATCCATTCTTTTAAAGAATGAACTCTGGGTTAAGAGCATTAAAGGGATTAAATGATTAAGAATAACGAATCATTATTAGGACAATCAGGAAGATGAGACTCGCCTGTTATAATTAAACATTGCAGACGATACGTACCATACCCGATGTTGGTCAATGTTATGTATTTTGTTTCCTTGGTCTAAATATCAATTTTTCTATTATATTCAAAATCCTTGAAGGCCATGAAAATAATTTCAACAAGGCAGCATGTAGCAGTTTTCTGCAGTGATAAAATAATCTCTCATTTCCCTTGCTTAAACAAGAATGGTTAATACATGTGGGATTGTTTATTGATTAGAAGATCTTGATACTCACCCAATGGTTCAGGTAATTCCGGTATTGTCGGAGTGTTCCATATATCGTCCCCATGGTAACGTTGATGTCTTGGCGCAACATCGGTCTCTTGGCAAGAATGGAAGAAGCGGCTCTTGGCACTGTTGGAGTCGATCACGGGAAGGTGAACGCTGTCTTCGCTCGCAGAATTCTCGCTTTCTTCAGAGGAATGACTGTGGCGCCCTTCCGAAAGATCGGACTCCACAGAACTCCGAACGGTCTCAACAAAGAGAAGAGAAGCGCGGATATCAAGGTTCTCACTTAAAATGAAACGCTTAGGACCAATTTCGGGTTTGTCTTTATCAGGTGAAGAGAGTGTGGTGATTGTTCGCGTCGATTCGGTTTCAGGAACAATCTTGATCGTGGTTTCCAGTTTCTTGAATGGCGTCTCTATCGTCGCCGTTGTCTCCGAAGCTGAATCAGCCGAGTCATCGGAAAGTGGCGCGACATTCTTCGCCTCTGCTTCAAGGAGGTCAACACTGGAATACTTTGGACCATGGCCATTGGAATCACTGGAGTCTTGTGTGCATAAAACGGACATAACAGCGCGAGCGCCACCGGCAGCGAGGAATCGAGCCTTCGCATTGCTGATTTCGAGAGCTTTAGAATCCTCAAAAACATCATCACTCTCTTCCATGTCCGATGTATGCGTTTCCATGTCAACGTCCTTACTTCCCTCTGATATTGACATTGGAGGCATGTTCATGTCAATTTGAGAAAGGCTTGAGAAATCACTACTAGTCCTGTTAACACCAGAGATATTTGGTTGATCATCCGAAAAGAGGATACCGGCTTCTCTCGATTGAGCAGTTTGTCTCCCAGCGGCGCGATATCTTTCTTGTCTTAAAGACATGTCGGACGAGTCAATGCTGTAATGGCGGATCATTTTGGGTCGTTTTGGAACTGTGTAAATGGCTCCATCATATTCACGATCAAAGTTGAATTCAGGTGGCATATCCTGTGGAGAAACAGTTGGCGAGAATGTTACAGATTTTTTGGGACCTGGCTTTTCTAGGCTATTTCCGCGCTTCAGGATAGAAGTGTGTTTCCTCTTGGCAGCAGGGGCAGAAAATGGAGGCCTGTCTTCTGGGTTTTCTTCTGGTGTTGTGGCCGATAGAGATGGAATATCTAAGCTGAGTGGCCTGTGGCGCTTTATTGGTCTTTCCAGAGGGGGTCCCATTACAGTTTTTGAAATTTGGGGAAAGGACACTTTATCAGTTGCAATGGTCGGTACCTCAAGGCTTTCTTTCCTCCTGGCACCCGGGGGTTTCTTTGGGTTGATAGTAGCAGGTGGCATATTGCCTGGCGGTCCCGTCTGAGGTTGTTTCATTGGAAAAGATGCTTCACCCGTAAAGACTTGGGGAACTCCCAGACTATCAGCCCTCTGCGGAATGGGTCTGATAACCTCCTGTGAGATGGTTTGGTCCTTTTCTTGTTTTGTCTCACAGATTACAGGTGGCTGTACTGTAATTGTCAATGGTTCAGACTGCCTCCGCGTCGGCATTTTCCGTTGAACACCAGGATAGGCAATCTCCCCTTTCACAATCGACGGTATTCCGAGGCTGTCTTTCCGTACTATTCCCAGTGGACGCACAGGTCCGGAGCTTGCTGAATCACTTGAAACCCTCCTAGTACGCGGTGGCCTTTCAAAGGTTGGCCTCACCGAGAACTGAACGAAGAGATCGTGCGATTTCTTTGCAGGGGGCGAACCTTCTCCAGTTGTATTGGCCTGAGCGTCACTGTCACTTTTGTCCGACTCACTCTCAACGCAAATAATCGGCAATGCTATGCGTTTCTTTGTAGGTTTCGGTGACTGCTTCTTACCACCTTCTTCGTAGATGTCAGCCTCCTTGCTTTGGAGAATTCTTACATCTATATCTGTCGGCGTTGTCGGAGATAACGGTGTCGTCAATGATAGCTTTGGTACGACTCTTCCGGAATTCTTAGAGGTTGGAATCTTGACTGTCGATTCTGTAGATTCACTCTCCTCCTGAATGGTTGCTGGGGCCATTACCGTAATCGAAGGCAATGGGCTGCTCAGACTTCTAGAGCCGAAGGAACGTTTCTTCTCCGCAGGTGAGACTTGAGAGGTTGTGGTCTGAAGTGCAGGAGAACCTACAGTTTCCGTTTCCCCTCTAGATAGCGCAGGCTTGACGATACCTGGTGAGATAATATATAAAGGGGAAAAGAAAGAGAAATACTATAAATACCATGACCCAGGCATACATTGTAAGCGATTGGGATGTCAAAATTGAATGGTCGACGAGAATAGAACGACATTAAATCGCATTTCAGGTTATAAATAGCACACTCTTAATTATGGATATCAGAGGGCGGTGTATATATACACACAGAAATTGGTGCCATGCCAACATACCAAGTGGATGAATACTAAGCGGAAGTTTAGCGTCACATCTGGGATCAAAGATCTCTGCTTGACCTCACTTACAAAAACAAAAGAAAAACTAATCATCAAGGAAGATTAATATCACCACTACCGCCCTCATTTTGTTCCTAGATGGCTCGCGATCAGAGATAGCTCGGAGATGAACTGACATGTCAAGAGACGTAAACATTTCTCATGATAGATCGCTTGCTAAATTAAACATTTTGAAGAGCGTTAACTTTCATCCGGGGTTTCATCTTCATTCTGTTTCCCTGTAGATTTGCCAAACACGAAGCTGGCATCAAGAGCCTAAGTCGTGAAGAATAAAGAGCACGTTTATTCATGGACGACTTTATTAGTTCATGTACATCTTCCCCTTACACATACTTTCATATAAACCAATTAGATTTGTATAACCCAAAATTACTACAAATTTGATGTGATGATATTCTGAGATTTAAAAAACTCGATCACTTCAAAATAATATTTTTTTTTTGTTAACCCAGAGAAGCCTCATCAGCATCAATGTTGTCCTTCATAATTATATAGGGGCCCTGCAATTAATATTACCCCAGCAACAGCCGGTACCCATTTACACCTGAGTTGAGAGTGGTAAAAATATGAATTAATGCCTTGTCAAAAGACATTAATGCGGGGCTGGGATTCGAACCTTCAACCCTTAGATTGAGAGTCAAGTAAATGAAGCATAAAACCACGATACCTCCACTTATACAATAATATTGAAAGAATGGCAACTCAAAATGTATTAATCTTAAAATACATTTGAAGAAAAAATAACTAGATAGTTAAAGGCTATTTAAGTCATCACTGTTTTATTACGGCGATCAAAGCATGCATCGTTTATGCACACACAGAAGATACAGGTCTCAGCAGATTTTGATAGTCCTTCTCAGAGTTTAATTAAGAGAAGGAGCTTTACTAGCTTTGTACTATCCTTTACAGATGACACGAAAGGGGTTGATATAAAGTCATTTGACAAGCTGGGTCATCAAGGGCTTATTTTCTCGATTTTAGTTTGTGAGTTGGTCAGATCTTGAAACCATGCTGTGAGATAACGCGATCGACCCCATTCCGATACGGTCGTCTGTAGTATTAACCTTTAATCGACTCTCCTTTATTTCCTTCCACTTTCTAGAGTCCTTACCATTTGTATTTCTATTTCGAAGAGAAGTAGCAGTGGCAGTAGTAGAGCAACAATAGTAGTAAACAAAAATAGAAGTAATAGTAGTAGTAGTAGTAGTAGTAGTGGCAGCAGTGGCAGTAGCAACTGCATTAGCGGTAGCAGCAGTTGCATTAGTATTATATAGCGCGGTAGTAATAGCAGTTGCGGTAGTAGTCAGTGGCGGATCCAGGGGGGGGGGTGCAAATTTTAAAAAATCGAGGATAAAAAAAAAAGAAAAGTTGGGCCCCCTCTCCTAAGAAATCCTGGATCCGTGCCTGGTAGAAGTATTGGTAGTAGAAGTAGTAGTAGTAGTAGCAGTAGTAGCAATAGTAGTAGTAGTAGCAGCAGCAGTATTAGCAGTATTAGCAGAAGTAGTAGTAGTAGTAGTAGTAGTAGTAGTAGTAGTAGTAGTAGTAGACAAAATGATTGTAAAAGAAGTGGTCAGTGATCATTCGCGTTTATCTTTTTGTCCATGTACTTTTACTTTAAAATTCTATGTATTAGCAGTTTTTAAGAATAAAATTCAAAACTAAAGGAAATTCTGCCGGAGATGCACGTGCCGTCATGCAGGATCCGCCCATAAGCTACCAAATGTTCCAACATAAATAGGTATAGGGTTATAAACATTGACCCTTGTAAATGTGCTTACACTAGTTTTGCATGTTAGAGGTTGGGGGAGGGGGAGGAGGTGCAACATACAGTAGACCTTCAGTTATATCATTGACCAGCGTATCCTTACCCCCTCCCTACCCACCTCCACCACCATCACGCCTTCAATTAAACATCGGTAGCCAAATTCCTCTAGCAGCCAAGCTATAGATTATTATCTCTAAAATGCTGTCAGGGTGGGTGAAAATGAAGTGAATGCATTGTTCGGTCGAAAGTGAAAGCGCCAAGCATTCAACCTACACTACAGCCAAAGCTTCGTTCACATTAGGACGTGCGGCAACGTTTCGTTCGTCCTGAGAGGGGTTAGCCCTCTATCATGTGAAGATGTGAACATACCCTAGGATAGCAAGCAGGCGAGCCTGCATTCCTGTCATACCAGGGAAGCAGCTATTGACGGCATTGGCGGGTTGATAGACGTCATGAGAAATCCTCGCATGGATCCCGTATAAACAATACCCCCTCATCAGACTTTCCAATTCCCCTGTCCTCTCTTTCTTTGCCTCTATCTTTCTCTCTTGCTATCACACACTTTCTCTACCCTTCTATGACTCCTCTCTCTCTCTCTCTCTCTCTTACCCACAGATCCAATCATTCGCACTCCCTTCCTCGCCTCACCTTGATTTTGTTTTCTCTCTCTCTCTCCCCCCCCCCCCCTCTCTCTCTCTCTCTCTCTCTCTATCTCCATCTCTCTCTCCCCCCTCTCTCTCTATTATATATATATCTCTCTCTCTCTTATCCACCCCTCCCAAATACAAATACAAGATGATTTACAGATATTGGTAAATAGGTAGGGATAAAAAGGGCAGTGCACCATTGTATCTCAATACAAATATAATGAATAGCGTGGTATGTAATTACAGATTGCTCATTAATATATCACAGTCCATTCTCTTATCATAAACAGCTAGATGAGATGGGATGAGTTTATCGTGCTCTGCATGGGGCAACTCATAATCAAGTTGTAAAGAATATTATATCATGACGGGCAATGGTTTACTTCGAGCATCTGATTTTTATGTCTGAATGCGTAACTCGTCTGAATGATGCCAAATGAAATACACCTATTTGAACTTGATAATCCTTGTCTTTCTCTGAAAGAATGAAAACAAAAGAGTGCTATGGAAATGAAGAAGATGAAGTGGAATTATGAGTTACACGTGATTTTGTTAAGACAATACGCTTCGTTTGTTTTGAGGAATGATGTTGCTATTATTGCATTTGTAAATTAAAATGAACTATATATATTTAAAAACTGGGCTAATACATGTTTTAGATGACACACTGTAATAGCAACCTTTGTTATTCGTCTTTCATTTCCATAGTTGTGTAACCGACCTACAGACTCACTCATGACCGCTCTAAAGAGGCTATATTAATGAGATGGAAATGCCCTTTCAGGGTAAGACCATTTTCTAAATATAGGCCTAGATTTAAGAGGAGTTAAGTCATGGACAGAAGGTCTGTATCGTGTTGGTCAACAACCATGACCTGGCAGTGACCTCGGCACCTTGACCAGCTGTGGTATTACCCGTCCAATAAATATTATATAGACTTATTAAGTTGGAAGGCGCATACAAATTATATGGCGATGGTTTATAATTATAGTGACATGTGCATCATGAAAATATCGAGCATCCCTCTCCTACTCAACTCTCTCTCTCTCTCTCTCTCTCTCTCTCTCTCTCTCTCTCTCTTCTCTCTCTCTCTCTCTCTCTCTCTCTGTCTCCCCGGCTCACTCTCCATCTCTCTCCATCTCTCTCCTTCTCTCCCTCTCTCACCTGATATCTTAAAGCGATCATAGGTGTAGATTCTCCTTGTCTATTTTGTTCTAATCCCAAGTTCTCAAGAGCATCCCAGTCTCTCTCTCTCTCTCTCTCTCTCTCTCTCTCTCTCTCTCCCTTAGCGTGTTCGTTCTTCTCTTCTTGCATGCTCTTATTCTTCCTGTTTACTATCTTGTATTCTCTCATAAAATGCATCGAAAACTCTGTCCCACCCCCCCCCCCCTCTCTCTCTCTCTCTCTCTCTCTGCGTTATTGCTCAAGATTTTAGAAAAAAAAACACTTTTATCATAACTGTTGCCCTATCAATTTAGAATGAATTACCTTTAAATCAAGCGAGTTCATTTTCAAGTTTTTATTTTCCGCGAATGTGTCCATATCAAACGGGTATTGCGAGTGGCTACATCATTCTGTCATGGTTAACTGTATTAAATACCCCCTTTTGGGCAATTTCCTCGTTGAGAAGATTTAACAAGAAGCCAACTTTGATTGATATCATTAATATAGCAAACTTCAAACTGCGATTGAAATGACATTTTTAATGTACTACGTTGGTTTTAGGTGAAATAAGGGACATTTCTTAAGAAAGTGAAGGACATATTTCTCCATTTTAGAAGGGGAAAAAAGTAGATTAAAACACATCCTATTAAAACGAATTTTTAAAACTTGAAATGCTATCACTCTATTTTGGCCATATTATTAGCAAAAATCATTTATTTTGTTCGGTGCATTGCTTGTAGTACACTGCTTAATATTATGCGCAATTTGTCTGCATTTAGAATCTTCATTAAGAGGAGTTCCCACAAAAATGCTCATTATGATAGAACTCTACACACTAAGAAAATTAATAAGGGTGCAATTGGGGTGCAGATTTGCATCCACCTACGCGTATTTGACAGAGGGTGCTGCTATATTGTAGCAGAATATTATTGCACCCTTATTTCTTAGTGTGTAGGTATTTCCATCTCGTTTAATGTATACTTTTTATTATCTTCTTTTATTTTCCCTATTTATGGCGCTTTTTCTCTTTTGGGGTATGCACTTTGCGTGATCCTCTTCATCACGATGTCGTGAATCATCACGGCATATTCTTTGTCGCCTTGGACATTGATAAACACATTCAATGTGCAGAGAGAAAGCTTGC